CGGGGAGGGGAGGGAGGGGAGGGGAGGGGAGGGCCGAGAGAGGGAGGACCGCGGTTGCCGCTCTGCGCGCCCCTGGCAGAGATCCGCTAGCTGCGATTCTCGGAAGCGGACCGGCTTCCTCTGATCTCTCGTCCCCTGCCTGGGCCGGCGAGCGACAGCGCTTGCAAACGGCGCATTTACGTAACCGAATCGGAAACCGTTCAGAGACCGAACTAGGCTTACGCAACGGCCCAGCCCTGAGAGGCCACGGCGGGCGAAGTTGTGGAAATTAGACCCAGCCGCCTTCCCCAGTGAAGATCGCTTACTGTCATCTAGGCTGGCCCCGGACTCTCATTTGCTCGCGGCCGCGGTCTCTTCCCCTCCGCCGGGGCAGCGACGTCGTTTCCTACTCCCGCCACGGTCTGTGGCTGTCGGCGCGATCAAGTTCCCCGGGGCAAAGGTTCAGTCACAAGAACCGGAGAGAAGGGTCCGCTGACTTGCCGTCTTTGGGTCGCGTTAGCGCGTTTTTCCACTTCGGCTGACAACGCCGGTTAAAGGGATCGTATGGAAGGACTCGCCGCTCCCATCTCCACGCGCCGTTGGAAACCTGTTCATTTTAGCGGTGGCGGGGGCAGAAATGTGCCGATGCACGTGATGAGCACATAAAGAGCTGTATATGATGAAAAGGGAGACGGCAACTCGGAAAGGTGGCGGAAAGCGTGGCGTTCAAGAGCCGGGCGCCTGGGGGAAGTAACTTGGTGCGGTTGCTGTTGCTATAAGAGGGAAAACTGATGGCAAGAAACGCGAGAAACACACATTCAAAAGCACATCCTTGTAATATTTCCAGTAATTCGGGTAAAAAAGCCAAAACTAATTAGCACTGTGGAGAGCCAGTTTGATGTAGTGGTTAAGGCACCAGGATAGGAACCGGGAAACCGTGAGTTCTAGTCCCGTGGAAGCCAGATGGGTGACTTTGGGCCAGCCCCTCTCTCTCAGCCCTAGGAAGAAGGCAAGGGCAAACCACCTCCAAAATCTTGCCAAGAAAAGTGCGTAGAATTGTTCAGGTGGTCACGGGTTGCAATGCTGACTGGGGCACCCTCCCCCCCACCCCCTGCAAATGGTACTATGAAATATTTACTGATCTCACATGAGATATTATGTTTTTGAAATCAAAAAACAAACCCATCTCTACAGAATAGTGACCATGAGTTTCTAAAGAAGTTTTTTTTAACAAGTCAATAACATTTATAAAAAATGTTAATACAGTTTCATCAGAGGAAAGCAATATACCTTTCAAACGGTCACTCATGCCCTTGTTATCTCCCAGATAGACTACTGCAATGCGCTTTACATGGGGCTACCCTTGAAGAGTATCCAGAAACTTCAGCTGGTCCAGAACACAGCCGCGCGAGCTATTTTTGGGGTCTGAAGAAGGACCCATATAACACCATTGCTCTGTGAGCTGCATTGGGTACCGGTTTGCTTCTGGGTCTAATTCAAGGTGTTGGTTATCACCTTTAAGGCCCTACATGGCATGGGGCCAGGTTACCTGAGGGACTGCCTCTCCCCCACAATTTCAACCTGTCCCACCCAATCCTCCAGGAAGGGGATTCCCCGGAACCCCCCCGCCAAATAACCCTGGTCTGGCG